CATTAATCAGCAACCTCACCTTGTTCTCCATCTCGCAGCTTCCCTCGACATTCGTCTCCGACCTATGGCCAGCGAGAATGTCTCCTCTCATTCTCAAACTCCTTCAAGCAAAACCAGCTCCTGGTAGAGCGTCATCTGCCTGCACCCACAAATCAGAAAGACAGCCGTCAGTCTCCGTGGATAGGAATTTATTTATTGTCCCTGCAATTTTATTATTAGCTAGCACTCAATTGTTCAGCTGTGAGGTAGAGGAGGAGGAATGGCGGAAGGAGGAGGATGGAGGTAGGAAGGAAGGACGGAAGGAGGAGGAGGAGGAGAGGAGGATCAGAGAGGGAGGAGGAGCGATGAGAGCAGGAAAGTGATGAGGAGTGAGGAGGAGGGCAGGCTACCTGAGGTCATCCGTATCTTGACGTCGACTTCGCAACACTCTTCTCGTTCTGAGTTACATCAGCTCTGCATCAAACCATTCTGGCAAGTGTCTCGTCGATGACTCGCAGCAGCTCATCCTGTCGTAGACGCATGCCTGTAACACACACCTCCAGCACATTAATACCATGCCTCTCCGACCACTAGCGTCCATCCTTTCTGTACACCAGCCTCGTAAGCACACCAACCCCTCACACCATGTAATTACTGCCTCCTCGCCACCAGATCATCCTGTCTGTTTAGCACCAGGCTGTAAGCACACAACCCTCACACCAATGTAATACCTGCCTCCCGCCCACCACTCATCCTGTCCTGTAACACACTCTGTAAGCCACAACCCTCATCACAGGTGTAATACCTCCTCCCCTCACTCAGCTCATCCATGTCTGTACACCAGCCGTAAGTCACACCCCTCACACATGTAATACCTGCCTCCCCCACCAGCTCATCCTGTCTGTACACCCAGCCTCGTAAGCGACTACACCCGCCACACATGTAAACCTGCCTCCCCCGCTTAGCGTCAATCCTGTCTGATACACTCAGCCTGTGAAAGCACCAACCGCTCCACAGCAGTGTAAGACGTGCCTCCCCCACAGCGTAGCATCCTGTCTGTGACAGCCAGCCTGTAAGCATCACAACCCTCACACATGTAGAATACCGTGCCTCCCACCCACCAGCTCATCCTGTCTGTACACCATTCACCTGTAAGCACAGCAACCCGCTCACACATGTAATCACCTGCCTCCCCACTTCAGCTCTATCCTGTCTGTGACACGGCAGCGCTGTAAGCACATCAACCTCTCACGCATGTAATTACCTGCCTCCCCCCACCCAGCGGTCATCACTGTCTTGGTATGATCCAGCCTGTGAATGCACACAGACCGCTACACAGTGTGAATTATCTGCCTCCCCCGACCAACTCCCATCCTGTTCTTGTAGACCAGCGCTGTAAGCAGGGCACAACGCTCTCACAGCATTGGTAATACCTGTCCTCCCCCACCATGCTCATCTCTGTCTGTAGACCAGCTTGTAAGCAACACAACCGCTCGACATCATGTAGATACATGCCTCCCCAACCGAGCTCATCCTTCCTGTTCAACCAGCGCTGTAAGCACACAACCCTCAGCACATGTAGGTACCTGCCTCCTCCCTCCCCCAGCTCATCCTGTCCTGACATCCACCTGTAAGCACAACAACCCTCACTACATGTAATCTTGCTTCCCCCACCAGCTCACCCTGTCTGTAAAACCACCTGTAAGCACACAACTCTCTCAACACTATAGTAAACCTGCCTCCCCCACCGTGGGCAGCTCAGCCTGTCTGGTAACACCAGCCCTGTAAGCACACCAAACCCTCACGACATGAATACCTGCCTCCCCCACCAGCTGGCATACCTGTCTGTACCCAGCTACAAGAATATTAGTTCATGAAGCTATAGTATAGAAACAAGGCGAGATTTACCACTAACGCTGATTATCCGAGCCTAAACTACTGAGGTTAGAAATCGAACATGACATATACATCACGTTGACGTGTACATGACATCACATGATCGTTGACAGTAACACACGCGGTGACATTACATGACACAGCATCCGTGACATGACATGGAATGTTTACTTTCGTGCATGGGGAGATTGGGACCACCGATTGACGTGACATGACACACTGGGTGTGACATGAACAGCGGTGACGTGACATTGACACACGGGTGAGTGACATGACTCCACGGTGACATGACAATGACACATGATGACATAACATACCACATGAACATGACAATGACAATTCGATGACAAAAGGAAAAATTAAGGACTTTTCAAGGACAAAGACAAAATTCAAGGACTTCAAGGTAAACGTTTAAGCGCCAACTACGCACTTAATCTCGTCCCCATGAGTCTGGTGCAGCTGCTTGCTCCAGCGGCGTCAGGGTTGGTTTGCCCCCCGGCACATAGTCGCATGACGTTCAGCAGCCAGAGAGGAGCGGCTGACCACTGGCTGAGGACATTGTGTTCTCCGCTGTGAAAAGCGCCACGCTAACCCTTTCTGCCAAATCAACACAAGTGTCGGCGGAGATGCAGATGCTGTAGTATCTACCTTCCAATGAGCTGCACACGCTGGCAGTCAGTGCCTAGACTTACGTGACGAGAGAATTCCAAGGCGCCAATGCCATATTGTGTAAGATTTATTGATTGGATTTTGTAAGTGGAAAATTGTTTAGAATTTTGCATTGTGATTCGGCACAGCAACGCACGAGATGTCATACTCATTTTACAATAAACTGTTGCCTGTGTACTGCCATTTCTTACCAAATTAAACCTGGTATCCATAGCAACACTTGCTCACCTTCTCACAGTTTCCTCCCCTCCCCCTCCCCTCCTCCAAATCCTGCGAAACCCGCCGAAGCCATGCCTGGCTTGGAGCATCTGTCTGTTCTTCGTCCATCTTCTCCTTGAAGGCCAGAAGCTCTCTGTCGTGTACCTGGAGGCTTCCTGTGTGGGAAAAGAAGGCATCATCCAATCATTCTACAAGACATGCCAACATTCAATGAAGCCAAAGTAATGATTTCTAAATTCCTGGTGTTTGACAAACGGGGGGCTCGTGTCCGGACAGGCCAAAATTGTTTGAAACTTAGATGCTCTGTGGTGGGCATTCTGGAGCCATCTGTGGGCACTTTCAGGCATTGATTTTAAATTAGCACAAAATGAAGTTTTCTGCCTGGAAAATAGTACGGGGAAAATCAAAATTATTTCAGAGATTGATCTAATTACGAGATACTATATATTTATTACGAGTAAAGCTTGTGCATACAGGCCCAACAATCATAGGGAGACATTAATGGAATCAGATACCCTGATTATGTTATCTTTCTTAATTGACTGCATAGTGATTACAGATAGTAACACAAAATATCTCAGATCTCCTGCTAAAACAAAAAAACTGACTAAACATGTGACATCACTTCACAAAATTGTGCAGTTCTCTAGATCGCTGAATAAATAAGATGAATAAGTTTGCTGAAGAAATAACATGACTACTACATATTACATGTAGTGTACTACAAAACTCTTCTCACAAAGATTCACAGTTCTCTGGCTGAAGCAAGTGAGCAACTGACTTAGAATAACTGTCACAAAAACATTCAAAAGATCTCAGTTTTCTTCTGTTAAACACAAAGCACCACTACAGTAAACGCTCTGTCAGTGTCCTACATCAAGTTTGTTGTAGCGCAGGCACTCCTTGGCCTTTCGGCGAACACATCCTTAGACAGAACAGCTCTTGTAGCACGGGTATCCCATGCTCTCATTCTCACTTTAACTGGTAATCTTCAAGCAGCTGAAAGTGTCCTTGTGCTTAATTGTGACGCTGAAATTCAAGTTTGTTTTTGCACATAGCTGAAGGCAGGGTTCAGAAGTTCTGCATTTGAATGAAATATTGTGGAAATCAGGATATCACTGCTGACGTCAACCTCACACTGGCACACAGGGGCTTTCCCAGTGCGGAAATTCCGGCGGCAAGTTTGAAACTTATTGAAATTTACTAAAAGTCTTAATAATGGAATGACTTAGGCGTAATGTGCGTAATTAAGTAAACACCAAAATCGTAATAATTAGCGCCCAAATCGTAATTGTTGGCCATGTCTGTTCCATCATCAGTCGCAGGCTAAGCCAGCATCCCGGCAGCCACAAACAGCAAGCATGAGCGTGCATCTGCGGCGACGGCGACGCAGTGTTCAGCCGTCCGCACGCATGACACGGAACGCGACGTGTATCAGCGCATTACCCAGAGTAAAAAATACACGGGAGCGATGAGCGATTCGCTCTTCAAACCCTCCGAAATCGCTTCTCCGTTGAGGCTCAAAATTAGCTCCCATAAAAATTTTGAAGAGAGCTACTTTTTCCACAGACTTTTTAAAAAGAGCTCCCGTGAAAAAAAAAGTAATTTTTTCCGTGGTATCAGCGCGTTACCTCTCCGGCACCTCACATGGCTTCATCGTGAGCGGGATGCTGGGAGCTGGCTTCAGCAGCTCAGGTCGCAGCCCCCCCTGCACCTCCTCCAGCTCGCCGCTCAGCTTCCCCACCTCCTCGATGATCGTCTCCTTCTTACGTCGCAGCTCCAGCAGCTTGGCGTTGAACGTGCACTTGTGCTGGTGAAGCTGTCACAGACATACAGATGCATGGGTGGGTGAGTGGGTTGGCCGCGTGGGAGTGAATGTACGGATGGACCAGCACAAGTGGATGCAGCGTGCAGTGGGGGCCTCCCCCCGCGCCCCTCCCTCCAGCGCACACCCCCACGCCCCTCCCTGCCTACACACACCCTGCGCCCCTCCCTCCAGTCGCACACCCCAGCGCCCTCTCCTCCGCATCCTGCACACACCCCCCACGCCCCACTCCCTCCTGCAGCAGACCCGCTGCACCCTCCCTCCTGCACACACCCCTGCGCTCCTCCCTCTGCACACACACCCATGCCCTCCCTCCTGCAACACACCCCTGCGCCCCTCCCTCCTACACCACACCCCTGACCCTCCCTCCTGCACACACGCCCGGCACCCCCCTCCCCGTGGCATTCCATGCTTACTCAGTGTCTCCTGAGCTACCAGCAGTGGCGGGGAAGGTCAGGGTCTGGGAGCAGGAAGAAGGTAAGAGCCAGGGAGAAGGGGGAAGGTCAGGGTCTGGGAGCAGGAAGAAGGTAAGAGCCAGGGAGAAGGGGGAAGGTCAGGGTCTGGGAGCAGGAGGAAGGTAAGAGCCAGGGAGAAAGGGGAAGGTCAGGGTCTGGGAGCAGGAGGAAGGTCATAGCAATACTATATGACCTATATATGACCTATATATGGGTAAAAGGGAAAAACCTCAAAGGTGTCATTTATAAACAGGTGGTCGTTCGAAAGATTGTTTCACTGTTTATCCGCCAGTCAAGGGAAATGCCATGAGTGTCTGTTATAGACAGGTGTCCACTACAGACATGTGTCCTTAATAGGCAGGTGTCCATTCTATAGAGGTGAGCGCTGAGTGTAGCGTTACTGAGAGTTTGCCTCGTCGTATTTCGCTCTCAGGTTCGGACGGTGGCAGCGATGAGGACGACAGCGACGACGACGACTCTGATTGGTCGGAGTCCGAGGACGGGTCAGATTCGGATGGCGGCCGGGGACTGGACGATTCCGTGTGTCCGGCGGGCTGCGAGCAGACGATGTATGACACAGTGTGCGCGCTGCGGGAGAACAGGTGCGTGTCTGAAGTTACCTGCCAATCACATGTGCGTGTCTGTAGTTACCTGCCAATCACAGGTGCGTGTCTGTAGTTACCTGCCAATCACAGGTGCGTGTTTGTAGTTACCTGCCAATCACAGGTGCGTGT